GGTCACTAGAGGTGCTTCCTGTGTCAGTGCGGATTGGCTAAGATCATCAAGCTTGATGATCTCAGCCGTAGAGGCAGGGCCAGTCGAGGAGAGACCAGCACGACGTTGGGGGGGAAGTGAGTAAAAACACACATACACACACCATGACACAGACAGAAACACACACACACTATGACAGACAGACACACCATGACACAGACACACACATAGACACCATGACAGACACACACCTTAAAAAAGACACACACACCTTGACACACACACACACCATAACACAGACAGACAGTGACACACAGACACACACGCCACGACACAGAGAGACCGTGACACAGACACACACACACACCGTGACACAGACACACACACACAAACCATGACACAGACGCACACACCATGACAGACATACACACACACACACACACCATGACACAGACAGACATACACACACACACCATGACACAGACAGACACACACACACAAATGACACACATACACAATTTCTACCTGTGGGGAGCTCTTCTGGCGGCCGCAGGGTTTTGCAGGCTGTTCTTGCGGCCGCAGGGGGAGCTGGTTGTTCTGTCTCTGCTCCACCTCCCCTGCGCGCCGCTTAATGAGACCGGGGACGGAATATGACGTCATATTCCGGCCCCGGTCTCATTAATCGGCGCGCTGGGGAGGGGGAGCAGAGACAGAACAGCCAGCTCCCCCTGCGGCCGCCAAAGGAGCTCCCTCTGCGGCCGCAGGTGAGCCAGCTGCCTGCCCGGCCCCAGGTGCCGACAGCCCACCGGGAAATTTCCCGCTATCCCTGTGGGCCAGTCCGGCCCTGTATACCAGTGAGTTTGTCTGTTGTAAGTTTGTGTGTGCGTCTGAGATTTTGTCTGTACTAAGTTTGTGTGTACCTGTGAGTGTTTGTCAATGATCTTGTGTGTTTCAATGAGGTTGTCTGTCTATGAGCCTGTGGTACCAGTGAACTTGTGTGCTTGTGTCAGTGAGATTGTCTGTATCTGCATGTGAGTATGCTTATTGTATAATTATACTTTTTACCCTGAAAAGACAAATATTAATTGAAAAAGAAACATACATATAATAAAAGTACATATATTTATATATACCCTTCAATGATAATGTTAAATATCCCTTTATAACATTTGAAATATGGCTACATCTTGTTACCCCAGATAATAATTTATAAACATATAATATTTATAAAATCTATGAAAAGGGAATGTATGCCAGTCCTATACGTCATTGTGCCACGGTTGTGTTTGTGCACAATGACGTGCACAAACACATGCAATGACTGCAATGTGTGTGTGTCTATGGGCTCTACTGTGTGTAAAAAAACACATTTACCAAAAAATGCTAGGGCGCTTTATGATACTTAACCCCTTAAGGACTGGACTGTTTTTGCGATGTTGTACATTTGCGACCAGGAATATTTTTACACTTTTGTGGTGTTTGTGTTTGGCTGTAATTTTCCGCTTTCTCATTTACTGTTCCCATACAAATTATATATTGTTTTTTTCAGGACAAAATGGGCTTTCTTTACATACCATTATTTATATAATCTCATGTATTTTAAATTAAAAAAAATAAAAAAAATCTGATGAAAAATTGAAAAAAATACATGTTTTTTGACTTTTACTTGAAAAATCTTTTACTCATCTACAAAAGCGAATGAAAAAAACTGCTAAATAGATTAAAAATTTTGTCCTGAGTTTAAAAATACCCAGTGTTTATGTGCTTTTTTGCTTTTTTTGCATGTTATAGGGCTATAGGTACAAGTAGGATATTGCGGTTTAAAAACATACATTTTAAAAATTTATCAATAGTGACATTGTAACACTATTATCTGTCATAAATCTCTGAATAACACCCCACATGTACATATTTTTTTTAAAGTAGACAACCCATGGTATTCAATATGGGGTATGTCCAGTCTTTTTTAGTAGCCACTTAGTCGAAAACACTGGCCAAAGTAAGCATTCATATTTGTTTGTGTGTGAAAAAGTAAAAAAACTAAATTGAACGCTAATTTTGGCCAGTGTTTGTGACCAAGTGGTTACTAAAAAAGACTGGACATACCCCATTTGCAATACCTTGGGTTGTCTTCTTTTGCAAATGGTATGCCATCATGGGGGTAATTCTCATTCCTGGGCTACCATACGCTCTCAAAGGCAACGTAACCAACCTGGCCATTTTCAATGTAAAAATATTTGACCCATATATTTGACCTTGTAACTTTCAAAAATGCTATAAAACCTGTACATGGGGGGTACTGTTTTACTCGGGAGACATCGCTGAACACAAATATTAGTGTTTAAAACTGGAAAACGTATCACAACAATTATATCATCAGTAAAAGTGCTGTTTGTGTGTGAAAAATGCAAAAAAAGTAACTTTCACTGACAATATCATCACTGTGATATGTTTTACTGTTTTGAATCACTAATATTTGTGTTCAGCGAAGTCTCCCGAGTAAAACAGTACCCCCCATGTACAGGTTTTAGGGTGTCGTAGAACGTTACAGGGTAAAATACAGTGCTAGCAAATTAAATTCTCTGGAATTTCGGCCTGGGTTGGCAGGCAGGTCCCTCAAATTGCAATCAATAAAATTACTGAATTATGTAAAAATATTACATAAATACGCACGTAGAATTTAAATATATATGCATATTTATATATTTGAAGTCTACGTGTATATTTATATAATTATTTATGTAATTTTGTATATGGACGTATGTATATTTCTTATTATTTTTATTTATTTTTATATACATAGATATATATACAAATTCATTCTAAGTGTATTTTGATATAAATATATATATATTAATTTAAAAATACAGTTAGAATAAAATTTCATATAGCTATATAATTTTTTTAAATTTTTTTATTATTATTTTTAAAAAATTATTTAATTTAAATTACTTATTATTTATATTTTATAATAATATATATATACAATATATATAGTTATTATATATATTATATATATACGTGTGTAATTTAATTATAAGTGTATTTTTATTTTAATATAAGTACATATTAATATAAAAATACACTTAGTATGGTATTATATATATGATATATAGACATATATTATATAGATATAATATATGTCTATATATCATATTTATACATATATAATTATTATTATTTTTTTTATTACCATTAACTTTAATTTTTTTTTTTATTTTACAGTTGCAGGGAGACTGCCTGTCAGCACAGACAGTCCCCCTGCAGGCAGACACATGGACACCTATTGTGACCATGTGATCGCTGTGTTAAGCGATCACATGGCCACAGGGGTCCTAATCTGCCGTGGGGAGACTGTCTGGGCTGCAGGCAGTCTCCCCACAACCGGAGGAACACTGATCGCCGCCGGGGAAACGACGGCGATCAGGTAAGTAGCCCCAGACCGTTTGGACGGTTCAGGACCGTCATCGGTCGGCAAGGCAAAAATGCCGATGACGGTCCTGAACCGTCCTCGGTCCTTAAGGGGTTAAAGGCACCCAGACCAATTCAGCTCCCCTTTATTCATGCAATGTAAAACACTGCAGTTTGAGAAACTTTACATTGCAGTGCTAAGAAAGCCTCTAGTGGCTGTTTACCAGACTTTAACTCGGCTGTTTACCACTTCAAACAACCAGCGGCAGAACTACCGGTCACCAAGGAGCTTCGGGTCTGACTCTTATGACTCGTTTCGTCCTTGCACGTAGGCTTCTTCTCACCAAAACATGTCACGAGTGACATTGAGAGAGGCGGAACTGGAACTCCATGA